AACCAGTAGCGAGAGGACAAGCTGTGCGCAGTTAATTCAATAGCCCCATGAGGGTCATTGATCCCAGTTTCGGATACACAACACACGTCAATACTCAGTGTGTCCAGCGTGCGTGAGAGTACAACCTATTGAGCTATTTGCCTTGGAGTGCAAATGTTGGACGCCGCCAGGGAAACGAGACAGCGTGGCCTTACGAGCAGCTGTTGCCGATAGGCGTCCTGTGTGTGTTGCGGGAAGGTGGCTGCGGATGGTTCTACTCCAGTAGCACTTATATTGCTGTCAATTAAGTTGGGAATAATCGAAGGAAGGTTGGTAATGGGGGTCGGGATTGGAGTGAGAGAAACAAGTGGAAAGGAACGAAGGGAGGCGCCAGCATTAGCATGTTTTCGCTTATCCGCCCTGCTGTATGCAGCAGATAAGACGACCCTTGATACTCTGTGCGACGGCCGATGCAGGATGTAGTTAGAGTTCGAGGAAATTGTCATGTTTTTATGTGGGCTGAGCTACTGCCAGGGCGCCCAGACAGACAGGAGGACGATTAGGGTCCTCATCCAAAGCCTTTGACTCAAAATCCTGTCCGCAAGACAGCGGGGAGGTGGGAATGATTTAGTTTTACAATAATGGACGCCATTTTATTTCAAACCCTAACCTGAATGACCAGTAGACTGCGTTTGTCTGACCTCTAACCATGGACCAATCTGGTAAGAGTATCTCTCAAGCGGCCTGTTTGCCCCATTCAGTATAGCTCAATTGGTTGACAAGGTACTCAAACCGTCGCCCCACGTTAGGGTGTAGTCTCCTTGCGACTGGTTTTGGGTAGCCTTAAGCTGAGTCAGTAAATACCTAATCAGCATATGAGAACATGTGTATTGGACACTAATAACTCCAACTCCACTAATAATCTATAGTTGAGGTATTTCTGACACTTATCTTCCGATTCACCTGCACTGACCTGCAAGTGGGCACAGATTCGTACTGTTTTTCGTGTCTCACATTACGCATATACATATATATTGTGACAAATTTTAAGTTCTGTAGAAACACTTTGTGCTTCCACTTAGTAGAGGTCATTCCGATCTGTGAACCGGATGTCTGTATCATACGAAGCATATTTTTGATGGCATGCGAAAGATGACAAATGGCGGTATTGTGTGATTACTTGAAATCACTGAGTAGATTCCAAAGTATTCTCCATGGTTACCCATAGCGAATTTGTATAGGGTAGATGGTGCTAGTCTGCCCTGTTTCACGGAACTGTTAAGGGTGAGTGAGCCAAAAGATCGCCGTGTATCCACACATGGCCCGGCAGTCTTGAATGCTGAGGCTGTTAAAATACTTTACCGCCACTCCCTTCTCAACAGACAAGCTCTGTTAGCTGGGTCCAAGGCGGCTGATATTCCTTAGACGACTGTCTGTTGTTCTATCGAACGTTTGACGGCCGCCTAATACATAGGGAGCGCATCAATTCGACTCCAACAAGTGCACGTGACACGATGGTTTGCGTACCGCTTTGATCCATTGTGCAATTCTGAGTAGCATATCCAAACTGGTTCCAGCATCACTGGGACCAGGCAGTTAAGGGCGATGAGTCAGCTGAACTTAGTTTTAAGCATCCTCGTGTTAATTTCGGGATGCTGATGACCCTCCTCCTTGAATGGGCGGCAACGCTGTTCTTGTTATGGGTTCAGCTAGAACGGCATAGAGCTCGTCTGTTCTTTATACGGGGGCTGAGCGCCACTCGTGCTCAATAGTTTGCTGCAGCCCATGGTGTAGACTTCTGGGCACAACTAATTATGTACCGTCTATTTGCTGCAATCCGGAAGCTTTCCACAATGGGGCGCGTTCCCACCACTTTATCTGTCAATCTACTGAAACCCTCAACCAAGTCTCCATTTAATCTATCGCTTCATACTGCTAGAAGTAGATTCCCTCAAACGAATCTGTTCTCAGAGTGGCCAGTCGAAGTGTATCATCCATCTACAAGACACCGTCCTTAATACTCTTCTATTTCATTTCTTTTTTACGTATCCCCTGTGATGTTTATCAGAAATAAACCACATGCTTTCATCAGTCACACTAACGACGAAACCGAGTCATCCTTCAACTCGTGAGCATTCCACATGGGGTCTTTCAACGTCCGCACACTTTTAGATTGATCTACAGACGACTCTCACCATGGCTATCCGCCCCATCGGAGTTGATGCGGTGTCCACAAAACCATTACATGACAGCGATGACTTTTTTCATTGATTTTCACTAAACTCGGATTATGTTGACTATGTGTACACCGTCGGTGTCTCGAGTGCTGGTTGTTTTTAATAGACTTTCGGCAGTTGATTTTCTAACCTGAACCTCAGCGAGCGTCCGCATGTGTGACACTCGGCTTTGAGGCTTCCTCGAGGTCACTATATGCAGCCATAGACAATGTCTGTAATTGTTGCTTCAGACGCTCTTGTCTATCGCATTCCAAAGGTTCTCAAATCTGAATTCCGCGAACAGTTCATCAAAATTCAGTGCTCATAGATAAGGACTTCGCGATGGTTGCGGTCGACGGAATGCTTAAGTCGGTCGCCTGTCCTAGTCAAAATTCTACATCAGAAGCCATTTCGAAACAGAAGCTTATTGTGCTGCTATGATCACCGCTTTCTTCAACTATGTGCTAATCACAGCCTCCATGTCATCGGCAAAGCGTCCCAGAATAGGCACTCTCATCTAGTTTAGATAGCGGGCGCTGAACGGCAGACTTCTTTGGTCTCAAATTAATCAAGTCGCTTTCAGTTGTAGAATTCGAATGTCACCAAGAAATTGTCAATCTATTTAGAGCACTTGTCTCATATGTGACTACGCCGTCGTTCTTAGTCTGCTAACACGGACTCTTCATACTTTGGCTATATGCTCGGCTTGCAAGATGTCTACTTGCCAATCGTATTCGCAATATGCGATCTGACAGATATAATGCACAACTGTCACTGACGAACGAGCTAACTGAACCGAATGATGAATGGATCGCGTACTGCTCTACGCTTACACCTTCGTTCTTTAAAGTGCTCTTATAGGACTGTGCGGATACCGCCAGTTTTCACTATCCTTAGACCACCGTTCAAAATAAACGATCAGTCTACTTATCCGAACGAATTGCTAAGACTGATGCGACTGCGGAGCCGGTCCGAAGATGTGATGTGTGGAGCTTAGGCCTTTTGACTGCAACAAAGCCTTTTGTACTGGGTTTGCATTTTGCTACTAGAAGGCTTTACAGAATTGTCGAAATGATTCCACGGAAATGTCATATTTAGGTTGACAGTTCTCACACTCGCCTACATGTAACCCTATCTGGAGTCCATTCATACGAGTTCTTACACGAAGTTTCTCATATGGTCATGGTAGGTAAGTGGGTGAAACTCAATAATACGACCACGGGCTAGTTGAGGTCAACTTCAGCGGGTACTTGACATCCGTCATAATAACATGTGAACATAATAACATGTGAACATGAATCTGTTCACATGCAGATTTCTATTTTATCACGCACCTCTATCCCACCTGGGTTTGTTGTTCTTCCCTTGTGGATTTTCGCAGAATAATTTATGGAATTACGACAAGCTGTATTACTTTATGGGAAATAATACCAGTAGCTTTACACGGTCACCTAGGCGGACAGGTTGCCGATTATTCACTTTATTCAATTTAACAAACAAAGAACAAATGCTGGAGGAAATTAATATTGTAGCTGAATGGAATATTGATACGTAACAAAACATTATATCTTTTTTGATCCCTTAGCCATTTACACCATATTGTAAAGCAACTTGTGGAAAGGGACTAATTATGACTACGGTCCGTGAAGTATGCCATAGACATCCACTAGAAAATTTTGCGTTTCTTCTCGGATAACTTGGTTAAACCGATAATCGGGAACCTAGGCCAACTAGTAGATTGGGGAAGATGTTTCCCAGGATTTTTTCTCGGTTACAGTGATCTTTATTCATTATCCCATTACTTTTCAAAGGCGACTACTACAAACGTTTGCATCGTGACTGCGACTATTGTTAAAACATCTGTGCCTACAGTCCTCTTAGTCCTTTATTTTTACCTTCTTTGCATGTTCGAATTCGCATCGTTTAATTACCGAAAGTATCTTTAAAGGTGGATACCGCAGTTTGTGTTTGCTGACAGTCTCTGAGCTGACCTGATCATTTTCTACAGTTCCCCTCAATTTACCTAATGCGTGCTATTTCCACAGGTGCATCTGTTTAGGATGGTGAGTCGATCACATGACGAAAGCCGGCAAACAATCTGGACGGAAGATTTGCATTCGAGCACACCGGTGCTTTGATACTCTGCCCGAAATAGCACAATTCTTAAGTCGATGGTACTTGCAATCAGTCTCTTGTATGTGACCATAAGTTTTTCCGTTTAGTCAAACTAATCATTTATTTACTCTCTCACCTTCGTTATTACATCACCTGCGGTTGAAGCGGTTATATGTATAACACTTGTGCGTGACCGCAACATGTTCGTCCGACTCAACTCAACTGAATTCCGGCTTTGCTTGTCGTTCATTCATCTAAATATTCGCTCGATACGGATACCATGTATCAAACTTGGGGGTGACTGCTGTATTCAGACAGCAGCAGAGTTAACATGTCCTTCGTGCACTTTTAGTCTCAACAGCCAAATGTTGGTGTGACCGTACTCCGCTATCGCAAATGTTCAGCAGGATGATAATGACATGATATGCCTACCAATCGATAGGTCACACGATCAGAAATCCCGCCGCAATGCCCTCGCAACGCTTAAGCAACTAATTGCTCCACCAAGCACATTTGTAACAGTCGGTCTCACCGACAATCATAATCTACATCAACTTTTACCAATCGTATGTCAAACTCACTTGCAATCCGATAATCTGCTTTTGCGCATACTTGCACCAGTCCACTAGCTGTTTTAATAATTTAGTTTGTGTGAGCAGCTTTTAGTTCCTTTCCCTTTTTTCTCTCTAGACATTTCAGGAGCGCATGGCATACAAAACACTTCTCTGTGATCGCCTTGGCCCTCTATGCTCACTGCTATGTGATTTATGCTCCGTGTCCACCGTAGCCAAGGAACGTGGTTCCGGCCTTTACCATTGTCTTGTTCCTGGCTTACAACAAGATGCACTCTGCACAATTGGTTATAGAGCTGTTTCTTTAATAGTGCGACATTGTTCACGCCTCATTTACTCTCCGTTCACGAGTGGCTCTGCAGCTTCTTCCCTCGAACTATTTATTGCCAATTTCTTGCTTCCGCGTCAGCTGTATGAGTGGGAAAAGTCGCGGTGGTCCGGGTTAGACCAAATGCCTCTTCCGACCTTCGTCATTGACTGCATGTGCGATAGGCTCACGGATGTAAGTGTTTCCTTCTTTGAGTAACTTGCGGTTTCCGCTATCTTCATGTTTTTTCAGAACTCTCCGAATCAGCAGTCATTTACTTCTACCCACCACAATACCATTTTTGTTTATTGACAACCGATGTGAATGGTATTTTGCATTGTCCTTAACTTCCATCTCTCAGTGCGTCAATTGGCCTTGTTGGTTTCTGCTCCCGCTCAGCCAGCTGGAATGTCTAACGTGACATTTTTAACCGTCATCTGGTATCGAAATGCCTGTAGTTATTATGATTTCCTCTTGCTAGCAGCATCCAAACAATATCGGCTGACTAAATCGATTGGTGATCCATTATTTTTACTTTGCTTTATCCCCACTGATCCCTTTCACTGTGCTACGTACAAGGTTGCCGATCTGACTGACTATGGGGGCTTAGCATGAGTATAGCTGCGTATTCTACATGTCACGTTACATTAGAAAGTGAACAGTGACCTCCCAAACTTTTGCATCAACGCAGAATCTTCAGCCTTAGTCACAGGTTCTGTTTCCATCTTATGCTCCTACGTGCACACTCTCCTCTGTTTCACCACCACATTGGTTGTCACCCGGGATCGTATATTCTGCTTATCCCACTCGTTTCTGTGAACCGGTTATGCTGTTCTTATAAGTGACAGCTTCTGTACGGGGCTGTCCAATCGCAGATGTGTTCGCTGATTTTGTTAGAGGTACTTTCACCAAGTTTCATGTTTACCGCTTGTTTGTCTCTATTAGCATGGGCGTATACCATTCCATAGTAAACAGCAAAACTGTCTGAGACAGGCTACGTTTGATGGCACTGGTTTCCAGTTTTCCCTCATCCCTCCAACGGGTAGTCACCGCATGTCTACATTTGCTGCAGAACTGGGAATCACTTTTGCTTGTCCTCTCGCACTTCCTAGGGTCTGGAGACGTGTGAATGAGAGCCGCAATTGATTCGAACCCTACGCACATTCTTTGAGCACGTAGTATGTGTCCTATTTTACAGTCCTCACTGAGCCTAACATTGGTACGATTACCACACACCTTGTCTACCCCGACAATAGTGATCGAACTCCTGGACCTGATATCACAGCGGCAATGTCGGACGGGGAGAGACTTTATGGAAGTACTTTTCAAGCACAACCAGAGCAGGCATAGTGGTGACAAATAATAATCAAGCATACTAGAGATTGCAATTATACTGGAAGTCCGCTCCATTTATTCTTATTGCTACGCCCACGTAACGATGTCCATTACTGATCACAGTCAAATCACTCAAACAGAATGCCCATTTGTTACGTCAAGTTCAGAAAGATAAACAAAACACGACGCTTCAGGCTTATACAATAATATACATTAGGGTAAGATCTGTTGTAACAAGATCTGTATAACAAAGAAACAATTGATCAGAAAATTTAACTTTGATCATGAAAGCAGTCATCTGATCACATGACTGAAGTCAAGTGGAGTTGCAGAGTACCATCACTTCCTTCCCGGCTGGTGGTCGGCCAGGGAAGTTGTAGTGTTTGTATCAGCTTCTTTTGGACACCTAAGTCCGGATTTGTTAGGCGTATGCATACTGCCTCAGCGGTGGCAAGTAGGCTTGCTCTTACACGATGGTTTTGCCACCAGATAAACAAACGAACATCCCTTCCGATTCTCTACAAACTACCACCAAGGCAAAGCCATCGTGTAAGAGCAAGCCTACTTGCCACCGCTGAGGCAGTATGCATACGCCTAACAAATCCGGACTTAGGTGTCCAAAAGAAGCTGATACAAACACTACAACTTCCCTGGCCGACCACCAGCCGGGAAGGAAGTGATGGTACTCCGCAACTCCACCTGACTTCAGTCATGTGATCAGATGACTGCCATCATGATCACAAGTTGAACTTTCTGATCAATTGTTTCCTTGTTATACTGACGATTGCAACAGACTTTACCCTAATGTATATTATTGTATGAGCCTGAAGAAGAATTAATCGTAAACAATTGTTCGCTTAAAGCTTGTTTATCTTTCTGAAATTTACATTCAAATCAGTCGATCAGCGCCACACAGCTGGTCTAGACACTGTGGGCGAGCGTTTCTCACTCGTTTTTCTGTGGCCACATCACACAAACCCTCGTTTTTGTTATCGCCAACACTTCGGCTTCCCGCCCCCTACTAGATCGCGGCAGGTGGTTGTAAGGACTGCAGTAATAAATTCTCTCTGTGAAGAATGATGCTGTGGGTTTGGGCGATGATTATGACATCGGTCATTAAGCATGTTAGCCTGATTCAGTAAGAGATAAAACCGGGTAGTAAATGAAAAGTTCTTTCTGAAAATGCCCTCTTCAGACTCAAATTTATTTCGTACATATGGATGCAGCGTGTGCCAATCTACTTGTATTGAATAGTGATTTGGACAGTCCAGCAGGTTAACCAATTTCCTAAACTGGCACCAGAGATGGTGTGTTGAGCAAACAAGAGGAGAAGTGCATACATTACCCCTTCCAGCCAATGGAATGTAACTAATCTGCGTAACAATTAAACAAGCAGATAACATCAGTTGCTGATCACGACGGGGTATATGCGCTTCCCTTTTATACGTACTTCCAGCTGACAGTAATCTGTGAAGCTCCAGCATTGTACAGCAAATGCTTTCGTAGGACTCATGACGGATCCTCCGGAAACGGGGCTTTCGAGAGCCGTGTAGCCATATTTGGTGATTTGTTACAACCTCAAGTTCTTGGAATTCCTCACCTTTCTTTTTGAACTCATATGGGAAAGTGCTCATGTATCCTAGGAAATATCAGCCTTGTGTTGCGACTCAAGGCTCGTGCACCATGATAGTACGATTGATAATGAGCAAGCCACAGAGCTTGCTTGGCAAGTAATAGTTTGTCGCAATGAGACTAGACGTTATCGTGATGCGATGGTTTGTGTGCCTCAGCGATCCTTTTAGCTATTCTGAATGGTGCTTCTTGCATGTACTGTGTCATACATATTAGGTTGATCAATGGTTTTTGCCCAGAGAAACTCAGTCTCTTGGTCCTCCGGATTGAGGTTTAAAGTAAGAATGGCTCCTTATTCCTTAAAACTTACTCCTCGTAACTCACTGCAAAGCTCCCGCTGCCTTGCGGTCAGGTTTTTTTAACCAAAGTCTTTGGTTGAGAACCCTAATCGTTCTACTCTCTGGGACTGGGCAACTTGACAGTATTCTACCCATGCAGTACAGTGAACCTTTCTTCAGACAATTTTTGATGCTCTTGAAGTTGCTGAAGATAGTTAATGGCATCGTATCTGCTGCAGAGTGGGTAGGAGTAAGGATGCTGCTTTATCCGTAGCGTGCTCATCCAGAAGTACATGAAACCGCGAGTGCTAAAGCTAAAACCCGTTACAGCAGAGAAGCGGTTTATATACTTATCGTTATTGTTTAAAGGTGACGCGATTGCGATACTTACCACCCGAAAGCTTTCCATAGTAACACCGAAAACATATTTTGCTGCCGATATGCGCACAAGCTTCACCTAAATACCGATTGTGCGTAAGCAACTGAGGGACAGGATACCTCGGTCGCATAATTCCTTCTGTGTGCACAATTTCACTTACTCGTGTCGAGCACGGTATCTTGGGAAAATGACCAGGCAACTGTCAGTTAGAGCTTGGGAGCATTGCTCAGCGTGGCTCTACAGCGGTGTGAGGAGGAATGTAGCGCGTACATTGTTGTCGCACCTAGTTAACTCCGACCCCCAGATCAATTCGCTTGACACATACCAACCTACTGTGTATCCGGATGTTACACACGAGCAGTCAGATGCCGCTTGCTGTCGACAGCAGTGGCGATTGCAATTCGGCTTCATAACCCAGACCTATGTGCCCAGAAAATACTCATGCAAACTCTTACCTTATCTTGGCCACAGGTTAGCATAAATAACTATGGCGGTAACGCTGCTTCCCCCGGCTTCACGTCAACCAGACCAATCATATAGTCTTATCGACCAAATACTTTGCCTCATTGACTCACCGAATTTAAACCTCTTGTATCCACTTTAGCTTGCTTTATCCTGATTTTATTAGCCTGATGATGAAATCTTGAAAACACGTTTGTTCGCCACCTGTTTCTGATGTCTTCTCCCGGAAATATTTCCAAATTTAAGTATTTGCACATTATCATATCGTTCAACTGACGACACCCGCTGTGAGTCTGCACTTTTTGGGTTACGCCATCCCTCGTCTCCGAAACGCATGGCCTTTTTACTATGAAACTTAACTCACAGCCGATCACATCACAAAACATACTGTTTACATTGTCATCTGCGCCTCCCCTCTTCCATAATCGCCTGTTGCCGGTGATCCATGTCGCTTTTATTCTATTGTACTTTGCTTACTAATCCACATCCTCGCAGCTTCCATTTAGCAGTGTCTAAACAGCGCTTGTTACGTTTGGTGTTCACTATTCTTCCATTTATCAACATCAACTACTCACTTAAATACAAGTGAACTGCAGGTTTTACTACACGACTACCAATTTCCACCATTTGGCAATCGTTTTCTATGTGCTGAACGTCTAACTTATGACCAAGGACTTGTTACATATGGCGAGACCGTCGGGCAGTAAACACTTGTACGAGGATTAATACAACTGGGCTTTCATCTGGCCATTGAAGTTAATCTGCGACCAGTGGATATACTATAAAGGAAGTGATTTTGAGTCTGTGCTTATTTTAGCAGAAAGCTTTTTGCAAGATCCGATATAAGTAGACACTGTGCTACAATCAAATGTCGGTCTTCGAATACCGCCGAATCGAGACACTTGCTTTAGTGACCTACCAACATGTCGAAGACCTATCAAGTACTCTATCGTGCTTAGCTAGTAGACGAAAAATATCGCAGGAAGCCATAAATGGAGAGATAAATCACCTCTCGGTACAAAGCCTGGCGGATCGCCGTTGCTCATTATCAAATGGGCAATCTTAGCTGGGTTACTAATAATGCCTCTTTTTGTAGTTGCAATATGGCG